AAAGCTATAAAAAACATATTTTCAAAATTTTCCGAAGGTTTTTCGACAGTTTTCGTAACACTTTCCAGAAAAATCCAAGGTTCAGCCTCCAAAAAGTGTCTGAAAACCTTCGAAAAATTTTGAAAATATGTTTTTTATAGCTTTCGCGAAATGCTCTTTCATCTGGCCAAGTCGGCAAATTTTTTAGAAACGATAAAACTTTTGCCTTGGAAAACCAGGTTTCCAGGGACCCGGTCTCCAAAGGTCTATCAGCCCAAATCATTGTCATATTCGGAATCAGCATAGTCGATAACCTATTTTCCACTTAGTTTTAGGTCAAAAGTGATTTGCCAGTTAATGTCTTTTCCTCGTTAGCTTTGCAGTTAACTGCAAAACCAAATTTACTGTTTTGTATCTATACTCTGTACAACGATTGAAGTTGTGCGATGCGGTCGAAAAAATCAAAATTTTCTACCTTGAATTTGACGCCAAAAGACTGTAGCTCTATTGAATTTCCGTTCAATATATTTAGAACTATTTTAATTATCTATACAACAAGGAAAATTCTAACCACCAAATTCTCGTTCGGCGTCAAAAACCGAACTAGAAAATGCTCGAAAGGCCGTATATGACCCAAACACCTATCCGCCAAAGGGCTTGGAAATAAAGCAGCCAAAAAGTTCGACGCGTTTTTCTAGGTGTACTAGAGCTAATATGTTTACATGGCTCGATTGCATAGATGCTAAGCTGAAAACTACAAAGTTACCAAATTTTTGAAATTTTTTTTCTTCACTGAGAAAAATCCATTTTACTGAGTACCCTTTGAAAACGGCCAGGTCCTTTTCGTTTTCTTTCCCAAGTTTCAATTAAAATACAGTTGTGAGAGAATCAAGTAGGTTAAAGACGATGGAGAATTCAACGAGAATACTCAGAAGATCTCTAGAAGATCTACAAAGTCTTGAGAATGTTTTCGAAGGGAAAAGTGACTAATGGTTGGATGTTTTATCCTGATAATCACATTTTCTCCTTTTCTGCTTCCCTAGTTCTTATTCGCTGTTTCAGATTTTTAAGCCAAGTCTTTTCCTTTTCTTTCCCTTCTTTCACAGGTTTCGCGTTTAGAGATTTTAGAGAGCGATTTTGTTTAAGCAGTTTTCTGTTTTACCTTCTTCCGTAAGATTCCCTCTGTGATTATGTTTATGGACATGAGAATATAACTGAAATCAAAGCAAATTGTTAATTTCCACTGTAGTAGCAACTCTCAAGACAAAAGCCGCAGGTATTAGTCACGTTTCCCTTCAAAACATTCCCAAGACTTTGTAGATCTTCCAGAGATCCTCTGAGTATTCTCGTTGAATTCTCCATCGTCTTTAACCTACTTGATTCTCTCACAACTGTATTTTAAGTGAAACTTGCGAAAAAAAAACGAAAAGGATCTGGCCGTTTTCAAAGGGTCCTCATGGATTTTTCTCAGTGAAGAAAAAAAATTTCAAAAATCTGGTAGCTTTGTAGCTTGAAAAATAAATTTCAATACACGCTTGCTTTAGACGCTTCTTATCCGTTTTAGAAGTCACGAAAACCATCCACTTTTTAAAAAGAACTTCACACTTCACTTTCTAACATAGAGAGCTCTTCGACTCTTGTGCAACATCTATGAAAAGTTTTTATAAAATCAGAAATTTAAGCAGAGTAAACTGATTAGATTGAGTTATAACACGGACTAAGTTACTTTTATTATCTTCTCTCGGTTTCAACTGGGTGCTATCACCATTTTGTGCTGCTGATGAAATGTGAAAAATGTCACATTCATTAAATATTCTCATGATCCGATGTGTCTGGTCAACCAATAAAACTAATGCTTATTCTCGTTTTTTTTCTTACAAAGTTTACTGTAGTGGTTAGATCGCGGTTTAACTTCGTTAAATATGTAGACTTGGTAATTTATCGTGGTTATAAAACTAGCTACAACAGGTGTGCATGCCATGTTTAGTTTTATCTAAAACTGCGATATTTTTGTGTTTTTAGGTTATTGCAGTACATTTTAAGCGACTTTATTTAATTTTACTTAAACTTAAATAGTCTAATAGACTCGTATAAACCCATTTCAAAAACTACTTCTTAACTCGCTTCGCACATAGAAAGAGATCTGCGGATCTCCTCGTTGAACCACCGAAAACCGCAGATCTATACTTTTATTCAAAAGTTATTTAGAAAATATCCGAATGCCTTCTGTTTTGACATGGTTACTACCCTACGAAAAAAGTACTACGCCCTTATACGGTATTACTTTGGCATGAAGTACAGTACATGGAGGGTCTCAATAGGCATAACTTAGTAGTTAAAGTTGGCGTCTCAATTCAACGATGAAAAGCGGTTTGTTTATTCTGCACAACTCGTCGCTTTTCATCATATACCGCAGAGACCTGAAATTGGTTTATACGAGTCTATTAGACTATTTAAGTTTAAGTAAAATTAAATAAAGTCGCTTAAAATGTACTGCAATAACCTAAAAACACAAAAATATCGNCGGCGCCCCCCCCCCCCCCCCCCGCATACCCCCCAAAAATTTTACAGATCGATCGCTTTGAGAAAATTTATATGCAGTATTATAAAAATTTAAGAGCAATAAGTCGAATAAACAGAAAGCTGAATGAACCACGCATTCAGCGCTGCAGACAAGCCATATAAATGCGACATCTTCTGCCTATATGCTGTAGATTGTACTTATATAGAGGTTACTCGTGGAGATGATAAACGGATCACACATTGATGGCAGAAGATAGATAGTCTTTGTTTCAACTTTGGGCGCGTTCCCTTTAGTGCTTGGATTACAGCGATTAATGGCGAAGACTCAATCTGCAAAATTAAAGATAAATATCAATACAACTAGAATCAATGAGTGTCATCATTTTATGTCATATCGCTACTAGATGTTGGTGTCTTACAGTGCTAAACGAACAGACTTTCTATTTTTTGAGCGTTTAACTTAGTTCTTTCGTAAAGTTCTCCTGTACTGGGCCATTGATCGTTTAAATACCTTGTACTATCAGTATTTTAGATAGTAAAATGTCTTTTAAGCGACCACAAGGGTCCATTCTTGAATTTTTTGCCAAAAAAGCAAAAGCCTGCTGAAATAGAAAAAAATACAATAACTGCAATCGATTTTAATAGCCTACCGTCACAGTTTTATGACAATGACAGTCAGTTTCATGTCAGTACTTCAAATCAAAATGACAATTCAACAAGCACAACAATTATAAAAGCTATAGAAAATTTGTCGTTCTATCAGATCGTAAAAATTTTTGTTTCGGTGACATTCTATTCAATAGACAGACTCACACAGACTCACACAGACACTCATTTGTCTGGCGGCAAATGAGTTTTTCTCTTATTTTATGTTTTTAGAAATTAGTGAAGAATCATCATCTTCTGAAACTTTAAAAGAGGATTATTGTGTTAACACAATTGGTGCTGATCTTCGTATTCGATCTTCATTTATTTCAAATTGTGAAAAACTAATTACAGAGTCCACGTCACCAGATCTTTGCAATGAACATTTTTTATTAAAAACTCAATCATTATCTAAAGAAATTAAAGTGTTATCATCAGCTATTTATGATCTCTGTTCCTCGAAGTTGAATTTCATATCTACCAATCGTGGTGAAATAGATGATAAAAATGATGAAAATCTTATTTCGCGTGATTCAGCAAATAACAAAAAATTCACTGATGATGAATTACGTTATTTAACAACTCAAGGACCTTTTCAGCCGAAAATGTCGGTTTATCCACAAAATTCGGAATTGAAAAAGAAAAAAACATCAATGTTCATTTGCTGCAGGATGGTACAGCCAATATAACTATTTAGAATATAGTAAAATAAAAGATGCAGCATTTTGTTTTTGCTGCCGCCTGTTTGGCCAAGGTCCCGGAGATGCAAGAGCGGAAGAAGCATGGACAACAAAGGGGGTTGATTCTTGGTCTAAGATGAAAGGTGAATTGTAGAGATTAACACTTCTGAGTACAGTCAAATTGTGATATTTTTTATACTGCGAGAAAGAGAATCTAAATGTTTCAGTCTCTGCACCGGAAGCAAACCAGTCTTAATCGTAGCGGGAAAATGGATTTTGTGAAAGATGAGCCAGTAAAAATCAAAATTTATTTAAATCGAAACAGTTTACAAGAAAGAACAGGACTTAGCAGCACTAAATCTAGCGTATCCTATCTCTTAAACGCGTCTTTGTTTAGGACGTGGAACTCAGAAGGCGAGGAAACTCGTGACACATTTCAAATCTGCAGCACATAAAGCTGCAGAAAAGAGATTACAAATTTTTAGTAACAAAAAATCAAATGTTGATTTAATGTTAAATGCTGATCGACGAGAAGCAGATCAAAAACGTGAACAGTTATTGAAAATAAATGAAAAAATTATAATATCATTATTGGAAGTAGCCAGATTTCTGGGAAGACAGTCGTTAGCTTTTCAAGGACAGGAACATGACGAAGGTAATAATTTGCCAAAGGAGGCTTATTCGTTTCTAGCTGTTTTATCTTGTTGTTGAAGGTAATTTTGTAGAAGCAGTAAATTTGTTGCGTCGTCGCGATCCCGTGATGAATAAATGGTTTAATGACCCTAGTTTAAGACCTTATCACGTAAGCTATGAAAGTATTTTATATGTTTCTTATGCTGTGACTTTAAAAGACTTCTCTAGTATCGATAAAGCCTTTGGATTTGAACTAAAACTGTGACTCTCTGCTTTTTACTTCTAATATGATAATACTAAGAAAAAGATGGACAAGGGGAAATCCCAGTAAAGCAGAAATTTAATGTTTTATCTACCGAAGGAGTTTTTCAATACGAGAGATAAACCAAAGTATTGTTGAAATGCGAAGTTATTACGAATTCTCTAGATGTAAGAGTATTTTTACTCTTCAAAAGTCTCTTTTGTATTCCTGTTCTAGGTTAGTTATTTAACAAATCGAGCTCAAAATGAATTTATTGAAATACTCGGCAAATCTGTTCATCAATCGATTTTGAATGATACTTACAATTCCACATTTATCTCCGTCACCATCGATTCAACTCTAGACAAAAGTCACAAAGAAATATACACAATAATAACTCGTTTTGAACAAAATTTTGAACCAAAAGAACGTGTCATTGCAGTTGCAGAATTGCCATCAAAAGTTGGTCAAGATATATGTGATTTTGTACTTAATCAGTTGTCTTTATGTGGAATTTCAACAGACAAAATAATTGCTCAATCTTATGACAATGCAAGCAATATGTCAGGTAAAAATACAGGTGTACAAGAATGCTTAAATCAAGCATTAAATCGTAAAATACCATATATACCGTGTTCTACACATACAAGAAATTTAGTTGTTCAACATGGAAGCAGTATCAGCATTGAATTCGTTAATTTCTTCAAAATTCTTCAAGAACTATTTAATTTTTTTAATATGAGTATTAAACGTCATGCATTGTTGAGTCAGAAATTAGAAAAATCAGAATACGATAAACCAAACTTCAGATAAATTTATTCTTGGTAAGATAATATTGATATTTTTTTATTCTCTTTTCGATTCATAGGCCTATTATTGAAAGATTTATCGAAAACTAGATGGTCAGACAGATACAATTCTATTAAAGCAGTATATTCTTCGTACACAGAAATTATTGAATCACTTGATGATGTTACTGAAAATGGTAAAGATAATCTATATTATCCTGATTTTTATTAAACGTTTATTGGCAATGATTAATGGTCTTCTTATATGTCTATAAAAAAGTAGAAATTGATATTTTAAGTGGTATTGACATTCTCACCGATACTACAAAATTATTAGAGCAAATGAGTGATGATCAAATCAGCTTGAATTCTTATGTTGGAGTAAGCATCAACAGATCTTCCTAACGGCATGAAACTAAGTGTGTTTCTTTGTCCAATAGATTGCTGAGAGAGATTTATCAAGATTAAATGTTGCAGTTGATCTATTGTAAAAGTTTAATCGGCTACATCGTCGTAATCAAAGTCTGGTTTCAATGTAAGAGAACTTTTCTAAAATTCTAGCTCAATGTCAAAAATATTAATGTTGCTCCATCCTCTCTCTACAGACATGAATTTTATCGTTTATTATTTTCAGAAATGATAATAAAAGTGAATATTGAACTTAAAGACTATTTGAAAGTTTTGAATGAAAAACTAAAGTAATTTTGCAAGACTTTTACCAAAAATGATTCATTTGTTTAGTGAAGATGATGATAAACAAATAAAGTCGATTGAGCCGGGAATAGATGACGAAGATCTATTGTTCGCTGAAGTAAATGCTGCTCAATCCAAAATATCTGAATATGAAAATGTTACACAAGCGTGTAAATTAATCAAAAATCTAAATCATTATCCAAGACTTCAACGAGTGTACAAATATTTGATCACAATACCAGTCTCAATCGCCAGCAACGAAAGAAGTTTTTCAAAATTAAAGATTATTAAGAATTATTTAAGATCAACAAAGACAAATGAACGTTTATTTTACTTAATGCTATGTGCAATAGAAAAAGATAAGTTAGATGAATTAAATTTACATCAGTCGGCTAAAGAATGGGCAAAAATGAAAGATCGTCGTATAGATTTATGAACAGTTTACAGGAACGGTATTTCATAGCAGTCTAAATGAATATTTTTTATGCTTTTATGCTTTCTAAAAGTCACAATGAACTGTACAGTAGAAAAAAAACATAAAAGAATAGTAACAAGGTAATTACTGAGTAACTATGCAAAAAATAGAGTTTACACCACCTCGAACGTGAAATTTAAAATAAAGTTTACACCATGTCGGACAAAAAACTTTCGTTAGACCCCCCCCAATGTCCGGCACCTACTCAGGTCCCTGCAATTCGGTCAGATGAAGTTACGAGAACTACTTTTACGTGGTATTTATGGTTATGGTTCTGAACGACCGTCTGCTATTCAGCAACGTGCCATTAAACCATGCATATCAGGTTCGATGATTTGTCTGTGATTATTTAAGTAATATCACTCTGTACATGCTTCGCTTTTCTTTGAATCCTTAGGCCGAGATATTATTGCCCAAGCACAATCTAAAAAAACAGATCTAGAAAAACAGCTACATTTGCCATCGCTATTCTTCAACAAATAGATCTTGATTTGAAAGAATGTCAAGCGCTTATTTTGTGTCCAACAAGAGAGTTAGCTCAACAAGTAAGTCACTCGCTTTAGCAGAGACGTTGTGATATTTGCTCAATGCTATATGCCGCTGAGAAAAAACTGGCGTACGACTGTTTCTTGAAGCGGTAATATTGCCTTTTTAATCGTTTCTACGTCTGGGTCCAAAAAGTTGTATTGGCGCTAGGTGATTATATGCATGTCACGTGTCACGCATGTGCTAGTGGCACAAATGTTCGTGATGACATGAAACGTCTTGAACAAGGCGTTTAAATTGTTGTTGGAACGTCTGGACGTGTCTTCGATATGATAAATCGTCAAGCACTTCGTAAGTTTGCTGATCACCCATCTCTGTTTTCTGTTTTGATTCAACGTATTTCTTTTCTATATAGGTAGTAAACACATGTTCGTATTAGAATGTAGAATCAAATGTTGTCGCGAGGTTCTACAGAACTGCTGTATTTGCAGTCAGCGGCGTAACCAGGGGCGAGAGAGGGGGGCACATGGGCAATTGCCCATTTCATTTGGAGATTTGCCCATTGTAGTTTTTATTAGTAAGTTTTTGCCCATTGAAATTTTACTTTTTCAGAATTGTTTGTTTATTTTTGAATTAGAGAGTAAATGTAATTTTTTCTTCCGTCTCAATCCCATATACACCCTTTACTTGTTCTTTCTGTGAACAATTAAGAAAGGAAGAAGAAAAGAATCGCTTCTTGTACTTTAACTTATCCATGTTTTTTGCATACATTCATAAAGATCTCGATATAAATCCAGATGAAATATTGAAATTATATAAGTTTATACAAATGCATCATCGTCGTCGTGATTTTGGTGTTTGAATTTGAAATATAAATGTTATAAACAGAGACATTAAAAATAGACTAAAACACACCTAACTTAGCCTAAGATTTGAGTTTGATGCATATTTGATTAAAAGAATCTCATTTCATTTGATTCAAGTTTCTGCAAGACACGGGACCCTAGCGATACATAAACAAAATCTGTCCCGGCCAGGGTTGCCAGATGTCCCCCCATAAGGGGGACAGTCCCACATTTAAAGACTTGTCCCCCGTGGAAATCTGTCCCACCGGGTGTCCCTCTTTTCGAGGATGTGCTCTTTTGACTGTCTTCAATAGATATTACGCTTTCATTTCAATAGACCTAGCATTTAGTGCTTTTTCTTATGTGAGATACAGTCTGCATGACAGATATATCTGCCTACATGCGATAAAAGAAAAAGATAATTTTTTTCTTTCTTTCTGTCTTTTTTCACGCCTTTCAGGTCGCATCATTGAGATAGAAGTGAAAATAAAACTTCTTTAAACAATTGACTATACTATAAGAAACGAAACAAAAATCGAATACAATAACATTTTCATTCTTTGTACATATTTTAAGTTTTTAATAATAATTTTCTCAATGATATTGCACAACAAATAATGTGTTTTGTATTGTCCCCCTTTGTAGAAAAAATAGTCCCCTTTACGTCCCCCTTTTCCAAAAATTTGTCCCCCTTTACTTTTTTTTGAGTTGGCATCCCTGGTCCCTGCCCGCCCATGCTTTGTTGGGCGGCCATCAATAAAAACCTTGCCCATTCTGCCCATCGTTTTTTCCGACACAATAGAAGTTTGTCCATTGGTCTAAAAATTCTGGTTACGCCGCTGCTTCCAGTACGCGTCACAATCACTTGAAGAATAAAAGAGAATATTTTGGAATCATGGTTTACAACAGCTCGAAAAATTATAGGTTTTCAGTTATATGGTAAACTAATTGGTTGGGAAAATCGTGGAGTGTTACTCTAAAATCAATACTAGTCAGAGCTGATCACCTGCATCTTAAACTGCAGTGCAGGCAGGTTGCAGTTTGCAGGTGAATGAAAAAATTTTCCACTGACTGCCGGCCGATAAAGAAAAATATTTTCCTTCCTGCACTCCCTGCATTCACTGCAGGGAAAGACGTTTTTGTGTGGGGAACAAAAAGAGAGAGGAGACCACGAGAAATATTGATCACACTGAAGATCAGAACGATCTCTTAACGAAAAGAAACTAACTAACAGTTTCTTTTGTATGTCTACTAGACATTTTAAGATGAAGGAGAGAAACGTTTTATCCGTAATCACTTATATCATTTGCTATGTCATTTTCCTCTGATATAATGGCCTAGATCGCATCTGTGTAGAATGACTATTCTTATTTCTCTGTCTTAAATGAATTAAGTTTAAACTAAAGTGAACGAAAAATATAGAATAAAGAAAAACAATCAAGTTCGCTCTTATTGTATGTAATAGCGTATAGCAAATCTTTTTTATTCGCATACAGGAAGACAAATGTGACATTAGGTAGCCTATGCGGAAGGAAAGAAAAGGATTTTTTTCTCGCATTTTCTTCGTGTTCTATTGAAATGACGTATGAGAAACTTTTGTTTTCACTCATACAAAATAAAGTATTTGAACCGCTCGTTGTACAATTTCTTCTTGATTAGAGAAACAAAGTGGGATGTGGAATGTGATTCTGCAGAAAAGGATTTTTCATTGCATCCGACAATCCCATCATGGGCGTGGCGGTGTTTTGTAGATTCAGTTCAGTCTTTAGAAAATAAGAACTTTCATTCTGTTTGAAATGAATGACCACGAGATGAGAAAGATGAAGATAAAGATGACGCACATTTTGTTCATCTTTTTATGCCGTTTGTCTTTTATAGGCAGGATAATAATTCATCCCCACGCAAATAAGCGAAACGTTTCTGTTTTTTCGTTCTATCTTAAAAAATGCGTCTGAATGTCGACATATGCACCGCATTAAAATGTGCTGTACGCTAAGGCTCTAATAATTTGATTTTTCTTACTGCACGTAGTCACAAACCTGTCCCCACAACGACAACACCGGTCGTGCAACAACGGATAAATCAAACAGTTTTCAAATTGAACAGCACCAATGATTAAACATATGCCACCATTGCCTTCAAGCGAAACATTAAGAAATATTTTTGTCTTGGTGCCATTTCATACTTTCTTGACTACGTTAAAGTCGAGCACGTTACTTGGCCAACAACGATATACTTTAAGTCCAACACAACGTGGGGCGAGCCGATGACGATGGCGGCGAATGATTTCACAATTCATGTAATTGAGCTAAAAATGCCTTCTCAGTACCTGCAAGTTCCTTTTTCTCAAACACTTAAGTATCTCCTTCATAAAAATGTCACAGTTCGTCTGATTGTTCCTGTGTCCTGTCAAACCACCAAACACAGATACCTACCAACCGCACTAAACAAAGAGTACCGTGGACAAGTTATTATTGACATCGATTTGCGATTGCTCTTCGATGACCAAGATGATGGGTAAGTTGCGTTTGTTTGACACAGCTTGGTTAAAGCGATTATCCAGCCGCAGCTGTAGGTTCCCAAGCAAAAATTCTCTATGGAGAGCAGCTAGCTCCAACCTAGTAGTGAACCGAGCAGTAGGTTATCATAATCGAGTAGGAGCGGGAGGTTGACACCTAGGTTAACCGCCCAGTTAACCGACCCGTTAAGCTAGCTCCAAAGATAAAAAATATTTGATAAGAGGGAGGTTATCAACTAGGTTAACTGAACGGTTGGAGCGCCCGGTTAACCGGACACTCTAAGCTAGCTTAAAAAATAAGAAAAAAAGAATATGCGCCTAACGAGAATCGAACTCGCTGACTAACGGCTATCAGAATTGAGATTAGGAGTACGCGACGTTTTAACCAACTAAGCTACCAGGCACACATCTAGTAGTTGATAAGTGATGAAATCATTGAGAAGACATTTTAGAGATTGGTGTTTTCTGTTTGAAGAAAATATTTTTGAGAGTTGAATCTTGAACATAAAATGTAGCAAATTTAATTTTCTAAATTTTATATGTTGGAATCAGATTTTCAGAAATCGTTCTTCATGGTGAGAAACAGTAAATATCACTTTCCACCATGAAGATCGATTTGTACAAATTTGAGCCCAGCAGATGAAATTTGGAAAATTAAATTTGCCATATTTTTGTCTCTAAACGCAACTTTGGGAAACTGTTCCTTTATGGTGAAAAACCAGAAATTAGCCAAAATGGTACTATTTCTAATTTTTCACCATGAAGAAACAGTTTTCTAAAGTTGCGTTTAGAGACAAAAATATACTAAAATTTAATTTCCTAAATTTCATCTGCTGGGCTCAAAGGACGGGGGCGATTATTTGATGGAATCGGCCCCTGCTCCAATTAGTTCGAAGCACACATGGTTAGATGCAGAATAAACAGGAGAACATTTCTAGCCACTCGACAGACCTTGGAGTTACTCTAAGGAAAAACTAGGTGGAATTTACTGTAACCAAAGTTCTGCTCTTCCTTCCTCAACGGTGACGATTCTGTGCTCCACACTTGACCACTAACCCCAACGATACATATACCATTCGATGGAGAATTTCTCGCGCTACAATTTCATATAT